TTGCTGTAGATGTTATTTTATTACAGTGCCTGTATCTTTATCTACAATTCCTCTGGTCAATTTCGAATAGAATGATTACTATTATTGTGTACGATATATTTGTAAATACAGTCCACTTCAAAGATCACTTATTGAATCAGCAATGGTTCTCCGTCTTTGACGCTTGGAAGTTGAATCCCAAAGGATGAGACCATCCTTGTGTTGAGCAAGAAGTTGTATAGCCGGCATCTTAAAAAATGGACTGCCAAGCTGCCTAGAGTGCACTGTGCCTGGGCCTCGACCCGACCCAGGTTTCCCTTATGTCTTTTTTTTGTCTTTACCCCGCCTTTAAATAATTCAAGGTGTCGGGCTCTGCTTTTAATGTCCCTCAGCAAAGGTGTGATAGGGGTCCTGGAACACTGGCCTTTCACTCCTTTTCCATTTTGTAGTAAAAGAAATGAAACTAGGCCCAGTCCAGGTCTGCTGACAGTTTTTATTAAATTCCCTCGGGAGCATTTGTTGGAACCATGTTAAGAAAGCGCCTAATAGTTTGTTGAAAAACTGTAATGCTGGCCATGTTTGGTAGTGGATGATGGGTGCAGGTGTCTGCGTTGTGTGTCCAAAAGGTAAGAAAACATGTTGGATGTTACACCTGATGGATTAATATAGCAATAAATATGTCAAATATGCATCTGCCTGCTAAAGCCGGTTAGTGTCACTTTCTTTCTTAAATGCGATTTGAAACTGAAAGTAGAGGTTCGCTTTAGAAAGGTTCGGCTACACCTTTCAATGCCACAGGAGCCTTGGTGCACATTGCTGTAGTCTCTTTTGCACCATTGAAAATCTGTGACCTGGCTGGTGTGCCTCACTAAGCCCAGTCCACTTATTGAGTCTGTTACGAATGAGTGGTCGTTTTTCACTGGATCAGCTCATCTCAAAGAACATGTGATTCTGTGGAGAAATAATTAGAACAGGTGAGCTCACCCATTTGAAAGGGGTATTAAGTATTGGACTGAAATCTAACTAAAGTGACATTTAATGAAGTACTATACTAAAGTACAAATTTAAGTAAATTTAATTTACATGCCACTTAATACTTCTAATCAAGCTAACAATTCAGTGGGAACTTTTGCTCCACATTTTATATTGACAGCCTAGCTGCTGGTCACATTATAGAAATTATTTTTTTTTATACAGTATAATATCTTCAATATGGTGCAATGAATTATGAAATACAATTTAAAATGCAAATTACATATTAAACTATACCCAAACTGTATATAATAAATAGGTCAGTTCCACTAAGAATCAACTACAACAGTAAAAGGGCAATAGAATGACAAAAGAATTTTTATATGCTTACCAACAAGAAGGTGGCTTGCCAGCAGCAGGCAGCTTAATGTGTGAATCCACACTCCAGTGGCAAACTGGCTAAGATGAAACAGATTTAGAAATGGCATCATATGAATTTGAAATGTGACTGGATATAAAAGCTGTTGGCTACCTCAGAAAAGCCACATGATTAAAATGAAAAAACAGCGTATAACCAAACGAGTGCTTCCCAAAAAAAGTGGAGGGTTTTCAGCAGCAAAACCAAAAATTGAAGTGCAAGATAGTTTTTACAATCTGAGAAGGCTGTCATGCTCTAGAGTTTACTTTTGTGTTGCTAAGAAAACTAGAAAGAGAGATTGTGTGAAAAAGAAACATACAAGTCGAGTTCTTAATGATGCTACTTTCAGTAAAACTGGTTTTGCTTCTGGCTTCCAAAGGCGCACATGACAGAAAGGAAATTGGCAACCCACTCCGATAACAAATTAGGAATAAAATCTTTGGACTCCACCCTCCAACCCAAAATACTCATGATCCATGTTATGTTCGTCACATGAGCCAAAGGCCATTTCTTCCATATTGTGCCAATTTTCTCACCAATGTTTTGAGACAATCTGCGTTTATTGATAGTGAAAAAAAAATAGTGAATTGTGATACCACTTGTAGAAACATATTTTTATTTGGTTGCTAAATGTTTCTACCTGAAATTTGCGGTTGGAAACAGCGGCACGAACAGCAAGGAGCCCTGGATTCTGATGGTGTTTGCTCCTTCTGAATCACATACTTCCAGAAGACGGGTGAACATGCTCCACCTTGCAACACAGTCAGCACAACAACTTAACGCAACTTGACGCTTACATTGATCGTGCAAAATAAGCAACCTTGCCGGCAGAGCACTGGCCAGTACTTCACTCAGTGGCGACATGCCCCAGCCTTGATGCTTGGTGATCACATTTTCAGCTGTCATAGATCTGCCAGCACCAAAAAACCATTGTTCGCTTGAGTGTCGCGAAGGGTCAAATTGGGGCATGCTTTCTATATCTAGCACAACGGAGGGAATATTGATACAAGTAGAACCTGGCTGCGTCACTGAAACTCTTTGCCCAGCCCGTCAGTAATTAGACAAAACCTCATCGAGGTGTTGCTTCTTGCGAAAACTCTTAAATTCGACACAACAAAGGCACCCCAGTAACCCTGGAGTCAAACTCAGGCCAGATGAAGAAGGAAGTATTCTGGTTTGGCTACAGAACAGGGTGTTGCCATTGCTCCCATTAGCCAACATCCGCATTAAGGAGGATTGCTGCCATCCTTCTTTCCCAGTCCAGTGCAGTTCTGTTGTGTGGTCTCCGTGCAGACAGCTGTTTTGTGCATTAACTCCCCCACGTTTAGACTACATCCCCGCGTGTGGCAACAGTAAAGGCTCTCCAATGCTATTTACAGACAGGCCTTGGGCATCTACGGTGGCTCAGGGTGGCCAGAGGCTGGGAGCGACATGGAAAAAGGCTCACATGACAAGCCGTTCAGTATTGAGAATGCTACCAGTATTACGGTGTCTGGTACAATAGTCTGGTAGCGGGAGTCAAAGGGTTAAAGGCGGTTCATCATCGAAATCACAAAAAAATCAGCAGCAAACATGTCTGTCCAGGAGTCCTTTAGAGCATGCGGACTAACTGCCTATAGGCAAAGTTGAATTTCGTTCAATGCTGTGAGCACACAAACAAAATCCATTCACCACTCTGTATTAATACTGCATTTACCTCAATAAAAGGACAAGAAGCATTAGCAGGGAAAATGCACTTCAAAGTTTCAAAAATGAAAAGCTAGCTCATTATGTAGGACTGCCCCATTCAGTGTGTTTGATGCTATTTTTTTTTTATATTACGAAATATTATGTGATTCATTAATGTGTATAGAAGCTTAATGTTAGGTGAGTTTAAATAGTTAATTTTTGACAATGCCACCATATTTTAGAAGCTGATCATGGTGTAAATATGTAAAACTGTAACAGAACAAAAATATAAATATTTCCCTCTGGAAATGTAGTGGAGCAGAAAGTATGAAGTAGCAGAAAATAGAAATACTCAATTAAGTGCAAGACAACTTCGAAAATGTATCTATGCACTTTTCCTCCAAAAGAACAATATGCAGCAGGATTCAGGATTGTCCTACCTCTTGGCCATACAGTGCCAATGAGATGTTTTTGAGTGTGTAGATCTCATCTCCATCACAGAAGCTGAGGCAGCAGGCGTCCACCCTAAGGGCTTCAAAATAAAAAGACCTGGTGGCCCTGACAGTCGAAGCCCTTGAAGAAACAGGCCCGAGCTGACCACAACAGCTGGAGGACACACACATGAAGC